GTATTATCGATAGCGACTATAAACTGGATGAGTAAAATGTATGCCTCGTTAAAAACCTCAAGCCGGAAAACCTAGTGGGACAAAACCGGTCAGAAGGGAAAAATAGTGCATAACTCAATCCAAACCGTGTGCATAAGTTGTCTCGTTAAAAACCTTTGTTGGAAAACCCAATGGGATAAAACTAGACAAAAGGGAAAAAGAGGGCAGCGCACTATTGCTCCCCCTGAAATGATCGTACTGTAAACCTTTGGGGTGAGCCATCAATCTTGCTCCATATCGGCTCTTCTCATTCCAATGTCGTATACCAATTTCTCAAATGTAGAAGCCAGGAAGGACTTGGTTCGATCGCCTTTATGTATTTGTGCTATATAATCAACATTATCATGTTAGTGGGCATGTTTATTTGGTAAATCAACAAGATGTACCTGCAACATTACAAAATTGTGAGTCATTATTCACTGTAATAATCATCGTAGACAATCTATTGATCAATTAAAGAATGTAAAAATATTATCGATGATTATCTCATTTACATATATTCCATATTTCATTGCAATAATTTATGGGATTCTCGGTATTCTCGAGATTTGATATCGACTTTTCGATATCAGGCTCAACAGATTCATTTGGAGCATTCTCACTAGGAATCGCCTCATTTTGAGGGTTCATCGATTTCCCCTTTCTTTTTCTAGGAACAATGTCCTTTGATCCAATAGGTCAACCGGTTTTTGTCGTGGGTGATCATCATTCATTTTCGCATGTTCTTCAGGAACAACTATCCTAGCCGGCACATTCACAGCTGGAATATAAGATTTCGTGACTTTACTGGCATCATAATATGCATCACGAAGTCTATTAGCAATATTTTGTAAATGAATGATTCTATGGATCACATTTTCACATTCAGAGGTACGTGGGTCTAGATGAGATAAATGTTGCTCACACCATGTGAGATTCTTGAATGGGTTTTGTTTATCATTATCACGGATATTCTGAATATCCTTACCAATCGGTATAAATTATGTCTCATCAAAGTGACACTCCGCAAATCTAGCGGTAAATAAATCACCCGTCATTGGTTCCATGAACCTAATAATTGACGGTGAATCAAAACCCAACGGATATGCCAAGTCGGCGTTGGGGACCCATTTTAGTATTCTGAGGAGGAGGAATTAGCACTTGTACAACGCAACCAAACGTGCGAAGGTGCAATCAAAAGTTTTTGATCTAAATTCTCCGGCATTATCCATTCTTATGTTTTTAATGGGATAATCAGGGCAATGTTCTCGGAGTTTAATAATTTGTGCTAGCAAATGCGCAAATACAAAATTTCGAGTAGATAATAAGCATATGTGGGACGATCTACAAGATGCATCCACCAAAATTATAAAATATCTAAATGGCCCACTTGCAGGGTGTATTGGTCCATAAATATCACCATGAATACGTTGTAAAAACGATGGTGATAAATAACCGACCTTTTCAATGGAAGGTTTTATGATGAACTTTTCTTAAGAACATGATTCGCATAAATATTCATTTGACATCAAGATTTTTGTATCTTCTAATGGATGTCCTTTAGTATGTTGTGCAATCCTACGCATCATAGTCGTTCTTGGGTGACCCAGTCGATCATGCCATAACTCGTGTATATCGGAATTAACAACTTTCCATGGCATAGTGGCGTAGGATTCGGAAGCTCGAATTTGGACACAACACAATCCAGAAGTTGTGGCTTCGAACTTCTCATGAACAATTCTTTTGTCCATGACATATGATGTGACACATAGACATTCCACGATATTTTCAACCAGTGTTTCTAAATGATACCCATTGCGTCTCACCTCTTTAAAAGTCAGCAGATTCTTATTTGATCTACCGGATATCAGTGCATTTTCAATATGCAAAGTGGTACCATTAGGCAACACAATTGTTGCATTCCTGGAACCATCAATTAATTCTGCGTAACCTGCTATGGTTTTAACTTGTGCCTTGCACAAAGTCACAGTCGAGAAATATATTTTATCATTCAATATTGAGTGTGTAGTTGCACTATCGAGTAGTCAATTTTATCTTTTGTCCATGTTTTTCATGTACGTGTGATCAAAATTAGCTCGACCTCGGGTATTTATCCTCCAAGGGAGATATGTACATGTGGGTTTATTCAAAACAACTCAATCTTGGGAATCACACCTTCCAAGATAGATCTATATACAGCGGGTACAAAATAACCCAAAACCCTTCAAATTTGGACTTGTGATTAATAGACTCTAAGTTGGCTCTTGACGGGTTTTACCTCGTCTAGTGACTCTACGAGCTTCAGGCTCGGAGATATTTTCAGATATTTGGCCTTTAAATCGGCTTTTGACGGATATTATCACGTCTTGACTCAACGAGTTTCAGGCTCGGAGATATATTCAGATATTTGGCCTTTAAATTGACTTTCTTGTCTCCACGAGCTTAAACTCGAAATTATATTTCATTTAATTGACGGAAATTCCAACGTCTCAACTCAACGAGTTTTTCGGCTCGGAGTTATAGTATGACCTCAATACGGTCTCTGTTAAGCTCTACGGGTACTATGCCCGGAGTTAAAACGATAGTCTCTAAATCGGCTTTAAACGGAGATTATTATTTCCCCAACTCCACGAGCTTATGCTCGGAGTTAATCTCATAGTCTCTAAATCGACATTTAACTGAGAGTATAATATCTTTTACTCGACGAGTATCATGCTCGGAGTTAATATCTTGGCCTCTAAGTCGGCCCAAAGATCTGTTAAAATTAGCACTTGCATATAACATTGCTTGGGATCCCCAAGCTTGCAAATGTACATTTGAGCAACAATTCAACAAATAAATAAGCAATAGATTAATATACACGAATCCATCATATCCTCTGTGAAATGATAGCGTATAAAATACCGAAGTATTCTCTAATCATTCTCGTTTGTCATTTCGACAATAGATCGAGGATCAGGATTATCGTAAAATAAAATAGAAAGAAAAATAGGAAAATAACAAGGGGCTCTTTGACATAACCACCCCATTACTTTTTTTAATGGGGATAGGCCCAAAATATTTTAGACTATTTGAGAAAAGCCCATGTTCCAATTTCAGCCATTATGTTTTCCAGCTTTACCTTCGCTCGCCACGTCATCACTGGGTCACACGCTCCGCGAATTTTTTTTTTTCCGTTTTTTTAATCGACTATGAAGCATAGTCGATTAGTCTTAAATCGACTGTGCTTCATAATCGATTAAGAAAATTCTTTATTTTTAAAAAATTTTTTTGTTCTTTAATTTATTTTTTTATATCAGGTTTATTAATTGACTATGATGAAGCATAGTCAATCAAAAGTCTGCTATTAAAAATAACAAATCAAAACTGCAAAAAAATGCAAAATCAACTATATTTTACAAAAAAACAAAAATATAAGAACATTATAATTGATTTATACAATTGGAATCAATAAACAAAAAAACCAAAAGAAAAAAAGAAGATTGAAGTCGATCAACCTTAATCGATACCAGCGCATAGTCGATTCAGAATCTGCTACTAAAACTAACAAATCACAACTGCGAAAAAATTCTCTTCACGCGCCGTTATCCGCCCAATCCAACAAAAAAACCTCCCCATCGTCACCACACCGCTGCCACAATACACTATTCAACCAATCCCTAACAAGAATAAAATTCCAGACGCGGATGGAGAGATTGGGGAAGGTTTTCGAAATTTCGAAGAGGAGGAAGACGACGAATCACTCGTCTTCGAGATTGTCTCCGAAGCGGAGGTGGTGGGAGAGATGGGGAACGAGGGAGGGGGTTATGGAAAGTAAGAACGGCTGGTGTTGCCAGATGTATGCGTCGGTAAACTGGGCGATGTGGTGGAGGATTTGCAGATGCAGTGACTGCAGTTCCTCGGCGGCGCCGGAAGAATCGGGGAAGATGGAGTAGAAGACGGTGTCGTCCGGCGGTCCGGATTTTTTAAGGAGAAAATTGACAAGAAGGAAGAGCAATCGGCTGGTGCTGCCATGGCTGCGTGGTTCTGAATCTGGTGAGGTGATTTATCGAAGGTTTTGGGGGAAAATATTGACGAATGGGTTAGAGTATTGAATAGATAGTAAGGGTGGTTTGGGAATTATTAAATAATATTTGAGTAGAATATTAGGTAAAAGGGGTTTTCCCTAATTATTTTTTGGAGGAGGTGTTTTCTTAACTCATTTTCCTAGATGATGAAGTTCTTGCTAATTATCCCAAATAACAAATCCCTATCGAGCAAAATCTCGTACTGATAACGTATTATAGAATAAATATTATATTAGCCTATGAGATAATATATATAGAATATAAAACTATATATGCTTAATATATTATAAGTATGCAAAATATAATACTATATATATATTATCAACGAAGAACAGAATGTAAACGAGAGAGAGAAAATTTTATTGCTGATTGAAGCACTGAAGAGAACTGTATCTACAATTCTCATTACAAACATACGTGTGTGTATATATATATATATATATATATATATATATATTATTACAACTATATATATGTACATCTCCACAATTTGTCCTCCTTAATTTATTTTCTCTTTTTTTTTTTGCACTCCAGCCCTAGAAACGACGCCGTTTTATTTTCCCTATCCAATCACATGCCAGATTTCTTTTCTTTTCCTTTTATTTTCAACCAGCTCGAACCTTTTCGTCTTCTAAATACAATTTTTTTTTTTGCTTTTCTTTTCTGTATTCTTTAATCCTCCTTACACGTGCCCTCTGTTCCTTCTTCCACCCAAAAAGAGATTCACCGTTCGGAGAGAATTTCTTAATAAACCTTCTTCTGAGGATGGGCTCCCCTCCTCCTCCCAAATTCCACACCGACAAGAACTTCGAAAAGATACTGTACTTTTACCATAGAAAAGCTTAGTCCGTTTTTTCATCGGAATTATCACTGTTTGCAGGGGCTATTCGATTTCAAACAATAACAGATTCCGGCCGCCAAATTTCTCCCCGCCCACAAAATTGCCGCCGCCCATCGGTATTTTCCACTGCCGCCAACGCGTCTGGGCAAATTTCGGCCGCTAAATCTTCCCCCCAGCCCACAAAATTGCCGCCGCCCATCAGTATTTTCCGCTGCCGCCAACGCGTCTTGGCTCCGCGCACCTGCTTCTTCCGGACTCGTGGCCGTTGTTTATCTGTTCGGTGCCCCTTTTCCGCTCTCAGAAAAGGTCTGGCTCCCACATATTTTTACGGGTTCATTGTTAAATTTGAAAATTTCAATGCTGTCATGTATGTACTACCTGAGAAGTGCCTCGACAAAGGGCCCAAAATACTGAAAAGGCAAGATTGATTGTTTTCTAGAACAATTATTTTTTGTCTTTTATTTTCTGCTAAGTCAGCATATTATATTTTCCAGACAAAATACCTGCTGAGGGATATCCAGATATGATTCTGGTGAGATTTCAACCAATCTTCTGCATTGTGCTGTTTGTGATTCCAGTAAACTAGGTAGATTAAGATTTTTATTTCATTATGAAATAATATTTTACTACTGTCTATTTCTCCCTCTTTTTTCTTCTAAAAGTTCTATGTCAATATTTTGACAATTGTGTTGAGTGTAAATTTTACGCTCAATACGTTTACTTTACGTGGATCTTTTGTTTAGATTTAATTATATTTGTGCTTTTAATTGATTGATTTTGTGTTTTATAGGTGAAAAAGAGAATTAGGTGTCCATGAAGGAAAAAAGATCAAAAAGAAAGGAAAAAGTTGCAAATAAGGAAATAAATCGAATTGGAAGAAGGAATCCCGCCACAACTTTGGCAGTGTCCACCATTTCGAGCATATCTCTCTCATACGAACTCCAAATCAGCTGATTTTGGCGGCATTGGAAAGCTAATTTCAAGGGCTACAACTCTTATTTACGCAACATTCCGAAATTCGGACTCCAACATGGCGAAAATCGAAGAACAAATCCTGGTGGAGAAAAGTGGCGGAAATAGATTCCTATTAGGTTTCTACTACTTCCTTATCAAGAAAAGCCTATAAAAGCAACAAGTCCCTACACCATAAGCACGAAAATATATACCACAAAAAGCGAGGAACGAAGATCAACGAAGACTCAAGCATAGTTTTTCTTATTTAATTTATTTATTTTATTTTCTTTGTCATAAGAATCACGAGTAGCTAAGTTTTTATTTCTAGGATTTTATTTGGAACCCTATGTGGGATTTATGAACCCAATTCTATGATTTTATGCAAGTTTTAATTCTGGATTATTTCTCCTACTTGTTTTATTAAGTGCATGAATTTGATCACCTTATGTGCTTTTATGTTATTGTTAATCGCATGAATCGGAAGATCGGGTTAATAATTAGAACTGTGGTAGAAGAGCCTTTGTGGTATTAACATAGGAATATAGTTAATCTCTTAGGTAGCCATTATTGAGATTTGTGCTTAATGCTGTGTTCTAGAATTAATTGCATAGGAATATAGTAATTGAATCTAGAGTATTAGAATTGTAATACACGCGGAAGCGGGTTATGATTATTTTAGCATCTTAGGTTAATAATCCGGGTTAATTACTTGCATAATTGAAGGAATTGGGGGAATAATAATCACATAGGGGGGAGAATAAAATTCTAGGCTTGTTTGCTTTGATTAAATCTTCGTTTTAATTGCTTTCTTGTTTTTGTCTTTTTAATTGCTTTAGTTTAATTTAGTTTATTAATCCTTTTTCGACTGTGTAGGGTGGGCTTGATAATAATTGGTAGAATTTAGCGTCTAGGATTAGATAATTAAATATTCCCTGTGGGTTCGATATCCGGACTTTTAGTCCACTATATTACTTGTACGATACGTGCACTTGCGTGTAGGTTTTCGCCCAACAAGTTTTTGGCGCCGTTGCCGGGGAATATTTTAATTATTTATTTTATTCTAGCTCTAAATTTGAACAATTTTCACGATTCACCCAATTTAATTTTTTTTTTAATTTTATCTTTTCATTTTAATATATATTTTTTCTTTGGTTACATGTCAGGTTACAATTTTCGCGCACCTCAAACGGGATATGAATGACTTCCGTCTGGCGAATACCTCCAAAATACCTATGATATGCCGTCCCTTTGTTCAATATGTGGTGGAGATCATTACACTAACCAATGTTGGTATGCACCGAAAGCTAATAATTTCATAGATAACACCAACGGCAGTTATTGGAACACATACACCAACACGCCACGAGAACCCACTGTTCAGGAGTGTTATTTGAACTCCGTCCTTGAAGAATTTATGAAATCCACTCAAGCATCTATCCGAAGACTGGAGTTACAGTTGGAAGAATTCAAGCGCCAAAGGTCTCTTGAAAATATTTCAGACAATATCGAGAAGGGTTGCAACACAGAAAATCCGTCTGAAACATGTAGTGAGAAAAATCCTTTAGACCTAGAAAATAGTGTCGATGAGAGGGAAAAAGAAATTACGAAGACGCTTAAGGATGATGAATCTGACAATGCAATCGAGCTCAACTACAAAGATGTCTCGGAACAAGAGAAGAAGGAGTTGGATGTGGTTAGTGCAAATATTCAAATTGAGGATATTATTGTTGTTCATGACGTGGCTTTGAAGGCATCAATAGAGGTTGAGGAGAAGACGAATATGTTTGAAGTGGAGGTTATACGCGGACGTGAGGTTTTTGTGTACCAATTTGAGGGAGCGGGTGATGAAGATCCCATCTTCGCTTCGTACCGATTGATTACAACTAAGAAAGACTACACGCTAAGGTAGACCCTGACATATTGCAATCCTATCCCTGTATCGGTTGCAATTGAAGTGAAAGAGCTCACGGATGGATGCGCAATCTACAAGGCGTTGGATTGGACATAACAATTTTAAGAAGAAAAGTCTGGCTGAAGACTTAAAACTTAGCGCTTCTTGGGAGGCAACCCGAGCTTTATTGTTTTTCGTAGTTTTCTTTATATTTTTCGTTTCGTTTTTATTATTATAGGCATGCATTCTAATTAATTTATTTGAATTTTAATTTTCAGGGTCGAAAACATGGTCACGGGGTCCAGACGGCCGTCCGAAATCGCAAGCAAAATCCCAGACGGCCGTCCGGGAAACAGAAGGCCGCATTCTGCAGCTCTGTCTGTGGGACGGCCGTCCGAAAAATGGCCTAAAATGTGGGACAGCCGTCCCACAACCAGAAAAAAAAAAAAAAAAATTAAAAAAAAAAAATAAAAAATAAATTCGTTTTGCCTTCCCGCCAATTCTCATACCCCGATGACGACGATTCCGACTAAATCAGGTGTTTTCTATCCTTAAACTTTGTGCTAATTTCGTTGCGGGCAACGAAAATTTTAAGTTTGGGGGTGAAAAACATGTTTTTGTGCTTATTTGTTTTAGTTTGCATGCATTAGGTTTTATTTGTTTTTATTGTTTTTATCGTTTTTCCGGAATATAAAAAAAAAAAAATTTGCTTGAGTCGAATGCATCGATGATTTATGATGATGAGAGATGATCAATGTTTGATGATGAGTTTGCTTGTTTTGTGTGATAAGGATTTGATGTTTGTTTAGCTTTCGATTCAACGGGACTTAGAAGCGAATTATTGCTAGGAATCACACTTTGTGCATTGCTTTGGTTGAATGTTTTGTATCTTAAATTTGGAATTAATTTGTGCTAGATCATGCTATGTTCGGTTTTAGAACTCACCTTAGGAAATTTATGATACGAAGTATTGAGTACTGAGTGATTTGGGATATGATTTGGGCCTTCTTTGAACCGTTTGAGCCTTTCAAGCCGACCTTTTTATCGAAATTATCCTTAGAACCTTGATTTGAGCCTCGGAGAAAAGGTGTTCTTTCTTTTAGCCAATGTGTGAGGTAGAATTGGTGGAGATTCTTGAAAATTACCCCTTGGAGTTCGGTCGAAAATTTTTTATAAGGTCCTTCTTCTTCTTCGAAAAAAAAAAAAAAAAAAAAGAAGACAAATATATATGCTTCTATATATATATATATATTAAAAAAAAATTTAAAAAAAAAAAAAAAAAAAAAAAAGAGAAAAAGAGAAGAAGAAGAGACTAGAAGGAAGATATAAGGACTAGTTGTTGAATGTTTTTGAAAGCTCGATCCATTGCCTCAAAAGCAAAAGTGGAGACTTTTGAACTTTTGAGAATCGAGTTTATTAAAGTCCGTAGAGGTGAATTCATTGTTTCAAACGCCTATTTTTCAAATTTTGGCGTAATCACCTAAATTCAAGAAGAATAGCCACACATACCCATATTTCCTACCTCGAACCAAAGAGCCTAACAATTGAAAGCCACAAAGCCCCAATGATCCCAATAGCTTAATGTTCAATATTAGTAGAGTAGAATAATTTGGTGAGTATTTGGAGTCAAGCATATGCATGTAAATATAAATTCTTTCTATCTTTAATTTGCAAATATTGGATGCTTGAAGCAATTGTATGAATTGTGGTTTTTGGTAATGGTGAGTGACTAAGTGTTGTTGAATTTTGAGCTTGAGAAATGCCTAAGAATTGTCATTATAATTCCAAGTTCTGAAAACGTGAAGTTGATCATTGATCTATGTGATGAGATGCAGTAGTTGAGTTATTTGCTTACGATTAGATTTTGCTTGAGGACAAGCAAAAGTTCAAGTTTGGGGGTGTGTTGAGTGTAAATTTTACGCTCAATACGTTTACTTTACGTGGATCTTTTGTTTAGATTTAATTATATTTGTGCTTTTAATTGATTGATTTTGTGTTTTATAGGTGAAAAAGAGAATTAGGTGTCCATGAAGGAAAAAAGATCAAAAAGAAAGGAAAAAGTTGCAAATAAGGAAATAAATCGAATTGGAAGAAGGAATCCTGCCACAGCTTTGGCAGTGTCCACCATTTCGAGCATATCTCTCTCATACGAACTCCAAATCAGCTGATTTTGGCGGCATTGGAAAGCTAATTTCAAGGGCTACAACTCTTATTTACGCAACATTCCGAAATTCGGACTCCAACATGGCGAAAATCGAAGAACAAATCCTGGTGGAGAAAAGTGGCGGAAATAGATTCCTATTAGGTTTCTACTACTTCCTTATCAAGAAAAGCCTATAAAAGCAACAAGTCCCTACACCATAAGCACGAAAATATACACCACAAAAAGCGAGGAACGAAGATCAACGAAGACTCAAGCATAGTTTTTCTTATTTAATTTATTTATTTTATTTTCTTTGTCATAAGAATCACGAGTAGCTAAGTTTTTATTTCTAGGATTTTATTTGGAACCCTATGTGGGATTTATGAACCCAATTCTATGATTTTATGCAAGTTTTAATTCTGGATTATTTCTCCTACTTGTTTTATTAAGTGCATGAATTTGATCACCTTATGTGCTTTTATGTTATTGTTAATCGCATGAATCGAAAGATCGGGTTAATAATTAGAACTGTGGTAGAAGAGCCTTTGTGGTATTAACATAGGAATATAGTTAATCTCTTAGGTAGCCATTATTGAGATTTGTGCTTAATGCTGTGTTCTAGAATTAATTGCATAGGAATATAGTAATTGAATCTAGAGTATTAGAATTGTAATACACGCGGAAGCGGGTTATGATTATTTTAGCATCTTAGGTTAATAATCCGGGTTAATTACTTGCATAATTGAAGGAATTGGGGGAATAATAATCACATAGGGGGGAGAATAAAATCATAGGCTTGTTTGCTTTGATTAAATCTTTTCGTTTTAATTGCTTTCTTGTTTTTGTCTTTTTTAATTGCTTTAGTTTAATTTAGTTTATTAATCCTTTTTCGACTGTGTAGGGTGGGCTTGATAATAATTGGTAGAATTTAGCGTCTAGGATTAGATAATTAAATATTTCCTGTGGGTTCGATATCCGGACTTTTAGTCCACTATATTACTTGTACGATACGTGCACTTGCGTGTAGGTTTTCGCCCAACAAATTGTCAGTGATATTTTATTATTGATGTATAGTTTGTAGCTATTTGTGACCGAGTTCTCTGCCATTTACTTGAAGGAAGAAGAATTTTCATTATATTATGCTTTTGCTGAAGCCCCAAAGTCTTTCAACTGCTTAATCGGTTGAATGCCCAACATTGTCAATTGCAGTCAATAGGTGATATATATTTTTTTCTTCCGAACGAGTGATCATTAAATGTCATGTTATTTCATCTATTTTGTATATGTGCTGAACTGAAATTCATTTACTGAAACATAGTACCTGCTTATGTTGAACCCTTACATATTCTGACTGCTTATAGCCTAAATTTTATTCCAACTTATATACTGATAAATTAGGTCTTGCCAGCAGTGAGCTGCCTGGTCTTCATCCTTCTTGCTATTCAATTTTTTTTTTTTATAAATGGATGTAAATAGGACAGCTATTGAGATCTGGAATGTGGCAGGCAGGTATTATCAACTTCAACTTAGAAAATTATGAAGATGACATGATATGTATTTTTTTTATTGGTAAGAGCAAGGTTGGTTTGGTGCTATTTATTTGTGTAAATAATATTTGATCCTGTCATTTTGTTTGTTGAAGGCGGCGCCGGAGATCGAGGTGAGAGGAGAAGTCGGCCCAGCCCGTATGTGAAGATCGCCATCTCCCTTATGAAAACAATTTAATTAAAGAAAATAAAATCTGAGCTCGTTTTTTCTGTAACGCCCCTCCGCCTATTTTCGTTCTCAATTCCGAGCAACGGCGGCACTGTATCAAGGTTAGTTCATATATTCATTGTTAATGAGTATCGAATTTTTGTTTTATCGTATTCTTTTAGCTCCTTTTGGAATTGAAAAAGGATAACACACGAAAATATTGGCAGTAGCCAATTTTGTCTGCAATCAATGCAAATTTCGCAAGATGTTTTCTTATTTTTAATCAAAGTTGAATTTTTTTTATTATAATTGTGGAATTGATCCCAAAAATTGTATGTGCATTAGGTTGGCTGTGTTTTTGGTGTTTATGATAATGGTGGTAGATGGAATTGCCAATTTAGGTTTGAAATATCACTTAACGATTTTGATGAAATTGCTAATTTAGGGTTGAAGTATCACTTTTCGATTTATTCTTTTTTCTTTTTCCAAGTAGTGAAATTGACTATAAAGAGGAAATCTATTTGTTCCATCCTTTTGAATGGAACATCAGTTAAAAAAGAAATATATTAAATAATGTATACCATCCAGTCGTCATTTTCTATCTTATGTTTGGTTGGACTCCAAGCATAAAATATTGATTTTCTACAATCACAATATATATGTTGCTGCTCTAAACATTATTGCAAACTGGTTTTTGCTGCATTTTCGTGCAGTTTCACTCTTGCATGCGTCTTTCAGTTCTTCCTTGCTTGCATTTATTAATCTGCAATGATTCGTTTATACATTTTACCAATGCTAACGAAATTGATATGTTTCTGCAGCTTTTAATTTGACGTTAAGGGACGCATAGTTAGCCGTCTATAAGGGTATAGCACCTAGGAAAAACAGGATAAAAAATGAACAGGTTGTTTCTGGCAAGGCACTACTGAAGAATGGGAAAAAAACTGCTGAATCTACTCTAGAAGAGGAAGTTTCCGACAGGAAAACAGCGGAAGACAAAAAAGCTAGTGACGCAAAATAAACTGTTTCACCTCCTGTGGTTAAGAAGAAGCCTTGTACGTGGCTTAAGCTTGATAGGCTTGTCCCTCAAACAGAAAAGAAATCATCACCGGAGAGTTCCAGACACGACAAAGAAGCCAAGATCAGTATCGAAGTTCAGCCGACAAAAGACAATAAGAGGAAGAGAAGAAAAAAAGGTGAAGAGGGAGGTAATAATCATCCGAAGTATCATGAAAAGTATATAGATTCCCGTCATGAGAAAAAGGAGAAGAGAAACGAATAAAACGAGCGAGGTAATAATGATACGAAATTCTATGAAAATCCAATGTAGCTAGCGGCTTGAAAAAAATGTGAAAATAAAGGTTTCCCTTCCCTCAATTCTGGATAAATAAAATGAAATATTCTTTATTAAATTGCTTGGACGAATTTCTTTTATGTTTTCTACAGTTTGAATTGCTACTCAAATTAAAATAAATAATCTTTGGGTTGATAGGTGTGTTGGGCGGCATATGTCTTTGGTTCTCACTTTCAGTTCTTAGCTATTTAGATGCTCATATGGATTTGGTGGATTGTGCTCTTGGCCGGCCGTGTATCTTTCGGTGAATTACGTCATTCGTTGGCACATTTTTCCGCTTTTGGCTCTGTACATTACGCCCTGCTTTTTCGCCATGGATTCAGTTATGTGTTTTTTTTGTCTCTTTGGTGTCGGGAAGTTCTTGTCCCTTTGGAATTTTTTTATTCGTGGAATTTTCTTTTTCATTATTGTGCAGCTATTTTACCTCCTTGGTTTTCTCAAATTTATGTTTTATGAAAATGGCAATTCTTTCAGCGTGCGTCCATCAGGCATTTATTTGTTTGTTTTTGTCTCCTCCTTTTGTAATTACCTTTCAATTATTAGCTCTTTATGTGTTCACATGTAATTCGTTGAATCGCCTGCCTGCTTAGTTTTGCGTACATGTCACATTTATTTGTCTGCTTGCTCGTGTCCTACATTTATTTGCTTTAATACTTAGTTAACAGTTGTGGAACAGGGTTGGAGTGGGTGCATGCTGAATTGGCAACGTCAAGAGTACATCATCGGTGCTGCCAGGCGTACGTCGGGAGGTTCTTAAACTTTTATGGCATTATTGTATGGATTTTTATGCCCTTCTACATTGGTTTACGCCGTATGTGGAAATTTTCATTTCCGCCTTGTGACGCTGTTTTACCTCGCTCTTTTATCTAACTGAACCTGCGTTCTTCTTGATTCTTGACATGACAGTTTTCCTTCCTCTCTAAGATACATGGAACAAATTTAGCCGGTTACTTTGCCGGTTTTAATGTTGCATTCCATACTATATAACAATAATCTAACATAAATTTATGCTACGAAGAAAAGATTGAGGCAGTGCTCCATCAAGCAAAATATTAATAGTTCGAAAGAAATCGAAATTTATACCTTATGAAGAAAATTAACTGGGCACCGACACCGCACCTTGTGCGGTGCTTCGAGACTAGTATATATATATATATATATAAAAGGATTTGTATATGCATAGTCATGCATTAACAGGATATATACAAAGGAGATGATGCCACATATTATAAATCTTTGATACTTAGTCCATAAGAAAACATTATATATATATATATATATATATATATATATATATATATATATATATATATATATATATATATATATATATATATATATATATAGTAATATTCAACAATAGTCATATTCAAATATGACTTTACCCATACTACTGTTGCTGCTCAAATCAGAAATTGTATGTTCAGACCTGGAGGGAAAAAAAATCGAAACAAACATAAATAGAGATAGAAAGGTAACGAAAGAGAGGGAGGAGGGATCGACGACAGCAGCAGTGACGGTGATGGTGGTGTATGGATCTGGAAAAAAAAAAGACAGAGAAATCGGAGAGAGATAACAAAAAGGAGAGAAATAGTTTTATGTGGAAAAGAAGGAGGTGGCGGCGACAGTGGAAGTGGAGGAATGTCGAAATTTTCAGAAAATTGAGGGATTTAGGTAGAGAGGTGGAGAAGAGAGAAGATGAAAATGATAGAGGTGCGGCAAATAATTAGGGTTATAGTAGTTGAGGATATTTTCGTCTTCTCACACTAGTCCACGAGGGTCTCACCAATTTAGAATGAAATTTGGGTGTATGCAAGTCTGTAAAGTCAATTGGGTTTAGTTTAAAATATTTTCCATTTGAGGGGCTATTGCATATTTCCCCACATATATTAGAGTTAGACATAAAATAATATTTTTAATAATTTTTTACTATATTTTAAAGGGCTAATGACAAATATGCCATGACAAGACAAAAACAGTTTCAAATAAACTCATCTCATTCTTTTGTCTAATACTACTCAAAATATAATTTTCATCAATTACATCTATTACGCTATAACTTCATTAATATTTCACATTGGCCCTAGATTTGAACAAATATTTCACATGAACTCCCATTTTCATAATTTTTTGAAAAAAAATATTTTTTTCTCATAAAATATTTTTTTCTGAAATATTTTATTGCGGCGAGATACCGACGTTGACTTGGCGTCCCCAACGTTAAATTTATTTATTTATTTATTTCTGAAATATTTTATTGCGGCGAGATACCGACGTTGACTTTTCTTTTAATCTTTTTTTCCTCTCTCTTAATTACTGTGTTAGTAATAAATTATTGTTTGACATAGTAATATTGAATGTCAAAATAGTAATATGACTAATATTACTAATATTACTAATATTACAGTCTCAAATAGTAATATTATTAATATTATTGTCTCAAATAGTAATATAACTAATTTTTCTGTCCCAAACAGTAATTTTACTGCATGAAATAGTAATATTACGGTCGGAGACAACAAAATTGCAGGCCAAGACGATAAAATTAATTAATATAGTGTAATTACTGTCTCGAACAACAATATTATTGTCTCTTTTACTGTAACATTACTGTTTGAGACAGTAATGTAGCAAGTCAAGACAGTAATATTAATGTAAATTATTTTTTTTTTCAAGTTTTCAAAAAAAAAAAAAGTCAACGATAGCTGACCAGCGGTGTCCGGCGGTGGCGGTCAAAATGTGTTAATTGGTGAAATTAGAGCTGAATTAGGGTTTCAAGGAGATGGGCGTAATTTGGTATATATAAAATAATTTTTATTTTTGCAAGTAAGTTTGAATGATTGTTTTATTTGCAAGACAAAAAAGTAGGATGTTCATTTTTTAATTAAGTACTTTTGTTATTGGTCTATTTGCTATTGACCCTATTTTAAAATTATTTTATTAAATACATATAGTTATTTATTGTATTTATAATGCAATATATTGCATATAATGTATGTTTAGAAAGGTTTTTTTTTTCAGGACTTTGAAAATTTGTGTACATTTTGAAACATTTATTTTAAAGTTTGTATATATGGTGTTTACAGACGCTTTTAAATAAGCAGAAATTAGTGATTCTGATTTAAATATATGTATCAAATAAATATTCGAAAAATTATCGAAACTTCGATTACTACTACATTTGGTACGGTATTGGTATCGTACCATTATTATACGGTATGGTAGCGGTATTGTATTTTCAATACCATGGTAGCACCGTACCATACCACAAATTTAATTATATAGTTTAGCTAATATATTTTCTTTCATATTGGTCAATAATTAATTGAAACTAAAATTACTACATTAAATGAATAGGTCAAAACATACAAGGTTAAAATACAGTTCCTAGAAAACGTTTCATGAGACAACATTGAAGTTTAGTGCAACAAAAAAATGTACATCTCATTTGGATTTCACTGAAATTGTTGATTGGATTGAAAATTAAGATTGAAAAGAAAATTCATAACTCTTTTAATCTTATTTTGCAAGGTGTGGCTAAATCAATGAAGTTGAAGTTTGATAAATATTGGGGGAGGTTTGAGAAGTTGAATAAGATGTCATATACATAGCCAATGTTTTTTGTTAAAGTCTTAAAAATTTTATCGTGTTTTCATAAAGATGGTCTTATTATAGTTTATAGGGGTTGTCTAGGGTCCGAGAGAGTTGTACTTCTCGGGCCGTAATCTGCCAATGATATTATGCCACATAGGATAAGTACGTACCCCATAAAAAAAAGTATAATATCCACGTCATAAGTAAAATTACCAAAAAAACCTTAAAATTAAAACCGAGTTACAATTAATAACTAAAACTTGATTACAGATCAATAATAATTATAATAAAACAATAACTTGTCTATAATTCTTTCTGCCGCAACATTGAGAGACATATTCTCAATTGTACGCCCTTCTATTCTATCATCTTCTTCAATTTACATAAACCCTAATCATCAATCTTTCTTCTCATTCATCCTTATTCATTATTGATCCGTCGATTGTTAACTTCGACGCAACAACGATTGTATAGAAAGGTTTGTACAGAAAATAGGGTTCTTCTATTGTTGATGGTTGACGAAGAAGTTGATTGTTCAAGCGGAAAATACATGGTTAGCGGTGAAGACAATTTGCATCATGGAGGGGAGAAGTTATTTTTTTCCTTTTTTGTTTTCTTCATTTTTTTGGTAATTTTATGAGTTCTTGAACAGATCTTTGTATAAAGAAAATACATGTTGAAATTCTGGTTCTTTTATTGACATTCTCAAATCATACCAAATATGTGAGCTATATATGGCCTCTTATTTAGGGTACTCTCAAATCTCACTCTTTCGATTTTTTTATCTTTATTTAATTTGATTCAACATATAGTATTTGTATATATAGTATTTATATCTAGGCTTGCAATTGTGTTAACTACAATGAGTAAGAATCAGACCTTTTCTTATGTGGTTGTGTCTTGGTTGTTGGTCACAGTATCATTTTGTTGTCTTTTGATGATGCTAATTACTTAGATCACTTGGGGTAGTGTAGAAAACGAACTGGGAGAGCAAAGCAGATCAGTAGCTTGACAACTTGATGATCCTGAGGTACCTGCGAAATGAACACACGTGAACTACGCCGGGGGTTGATCCGGCGGAAACCCCTCCGACGCTCAAGTCAGACGTGCTGATCATAGAAATAGTCTAGAGAACACGTATTGTAGTATTGCTCAGTTAATAGGACGTACCTTAAGGAATGATTTCAAACATTTATTTATAGCTTAGTTGAGATTGTCGGGCCCAAACCTTACTTGAAGGTGATTGGGCCTCGGTGATAGTGGTCTTCGACATTGGGCTCGTGGCCCAGTAGATAAATAATTGGTAGGCCCATTGGATTGGACCAATTAGGCATATCATCTTTTGATATATTTTATTTATAAGTGGCTCTTTCTATTTGGGATGACAATGAAATTATTTTCCCTGTAGGTTGAAATTTCGGCTTCTATTTAAGCTTAACTAGGAGATAAATTCTATGAATTTTCTGTGAATATGTAGTTTCTGGAATTTCGAGCTGAGCGACACACTTGGTGGGAATACTATGAGCTACCTCGTCAAGAGAAACGTCCACCTTGCCGCAAGCCCGTGCATAACAGCCAATTTGAAAAAACTGCTTAACACCGCCCTTTGTTTATTTATTTTTTCTTTTTTCTGTTCGGATTGGAGACATATGAAGTACTTTTTTCGGGTCTAGTTTAATATCTATGATGATGCTGGTTTATTTAGGATTTTACTTAGTTTTTGAACTCCTAAAATGTATTTTTTTTTGTGAAATAAGAAACCATTCTCAGTTGTTGTGGATCTTGTGATGGTGTTGATGGTGTTTTGTCTTATTTTCATTGAAATAGTAAAAGTGGAGAGAAGTAAAAAATTGCAACCTTGAATTTCCTCGTGCAAAGTGGAGAGAACAAAATAGTCTGTTGATTTTGCTGTTACTTAATTATTTGCAACACTTTAAAATACATGCCATATTGCTAAAAACACTTTTTAAATGATTGCTCGTGTTTCAACTTACTTAATACACTGTGAACTTACATGACAAACTTGGAGTACATGATCGAGTTGTATTAATTGAAAATTCTAGCACAAAAAGTAGCTGTCCTAAGAAATTGAAAATCACTGTCCACTAATGCGAAATAACCAAATATATATTCTTGCTTAATTTTTCAAAGCTCTGTACAAATCCAAACTCCAGTTTGCACTCCACTCTAGCTTTTGTTGAACCTCCTATCCTCCTCCACCTGTCAATGCACCACAAATAATCAACAACAAATAACAAATTCAATCTAGGGGTGGGAACGAGCCGAGCTCGGCTCTTTTGGCCAGCTCGAGCTCGAGCTCGAGCCCATGTTGCCCAGCTCGAGCTCGAGCTCGAGCTCATCGAGCCAATTTTTTTTGGCTCGAGCTCGAGCTCGAGCTCGAGCTTATTTAATTTTTTTTTTTTTTTTTTTTTTTTTTTATTTAATTTTTTTTTTTTTTTAATTAAAATCATTTTTTTATTAAAATCATTTTTTTATCAAAAATTATTCATAGGAAAATAAAAAAAAATTATAAAATAAATAATGAACTCTAGTTATATATATTTTTTATTTTTTCTATTATTATTATTATATTTTATATTATTATGAATTATTTAAGTAATATAGATTTGTTTCTATTTAAATACTAGATATATTTATTATTATAGACTATTTACTATTTAGTTAATAATAATAATAATAAGAAGAAGAAGAAGAATAAGAATAATATATATATATATATATATATATATATATATATATATATATATATATATATATATATATATATATAAAGAAAAAAAAAAAAAAAAAAAAGAAGGCAGCTCGCGAGCCGGCTCGCGAGCTGTCGAACAACTAATTTTAGGCTCGAGCTCGAGCTCGAGCTCGAAAAACCCGAGCTCGAGTTCGAGCTTTTTTCGAGCCGGCTCGTCGAGTTCGCGAGCCGGCTCGGCTCGTTTACCACCCCTAATTCAATCACTTTCTGGTTATCTTTTGAAAATATATAACACTAAAAGTAAGAGAAAAGAAAAATAATTAAGATACTTTAGAAGACAACATCTTATCCATGAACTTAAGCTTTATATTTTTGCCTAAAATACCACTCAAACACAAAAATGCAAATAATGATCACCATATATATTTCTAAAGCTCACTTGTATACTGCTGGCTTCTGCAAATTTCTGTTTTCCAAAAAAAATCTCACGTACACAACTGCAAAATTCATCTAAGTCAATAATAGAATGTTTAAGCATCATTTCTCCATTCTCATGAATAGGATATTGCTATTATCCAATGCCAACCATTTGATGTTAATGCCATCTATTATGAAGATATAATTATATGAAGATATTAAGTTATGGCTAATTTTCAACAAGATATCAAATTAATCAAAACTAAAATAAACAAAATTTAGAGAAATAAGCCATGGGCTGGAACTTATGAACTAAATTAGTCAAAATAATAGTGTATCACCGTTTTATGATTACACAAGTTGTTCCTATGGAGTACTTTGATTTCTATTACCATGATTTAGATTACTTCGGATTTTGTCTATGAAAAAAACGAACAAAGAAAAAGAGATAGAAGAAGATATGAAGAAAAAAGTAGGTTTCTTTGCAATGTATATTATAGACAAACCAACCTTGAAAACCTAGATAATAGATCCTGAAAATGAAACATAGTTATCCAGACGCACAAAATCCCTCAATTCCATAGTCTCCTATGACAATAAAGCACGCTCCGCCGAATTAAGCGGAGACCTCTGTCTCTCTCATCGTAGAAGTTAGTCTTTAGAATACTCCAATGGCCCTTCAACGCTCTTTACGAGGGCGAGCTTGACCTGCTTGATCCTCGATCTGCTTAATCATCATAAGTCAAAACACTATCAAACTTTTCCATTTTCACCCCGTATCGATTCTCGTTTTGCGTGTAGCTCTCAATTTGGGGTAGGTTACACATAACCCATAAGAAAACATTCACACACCTAGCCCATATCAATTGTCATGTTACCCAAGATTGGAAATATTAAACATGTTGCGAGTTGCCTGCTTAAGGAAGCAACTTTGTATCTAATATCGAAAATCAAAATTCTCAATTCTAGCAATAAAAAACATAAAATATTATAGAAGGAACAACAAAGCAATTGTTCAAATTTCTAAACTCTAGTGGGCGAGCAAGAAACAACTAAAAAAAGAAGGAAATAATAGAATTACCAAATCAATTCTCCAACACAAACTCCCCAATATTCGGTTCTCCCCGCTGGCGAGATGATGAAGCAGCGCAAATACTAGGAATTCTGCTTATGTAGTTGTTTCTCATCTATCGTCGTCCGTTGAAACTTGAAACCCTAGCCAAAACAAAGGCGCAAACGCATCTGGGCAGTTGAGAGAAATCACCGGAGGATACATCCGTGACGAGAGTGGCGTCTCATCCGCCATGACGCTCCGGGGAACGTAGAGCGCCGATCAACAAACATTCGTTAGACGATTGATCCGAGACCGGTTTTGGGAAGAACATCTGACGTTTGATTTTATTAGACGTGTGTGTGATGTTGTTAATTAATTATGATTATTATAATATTTTTCATAGATATTTTAATTTAACTTGAGTTTATAAGGTCAATTGAGTAATTTATATAAAATACGATGTGTGTACGATGGTGTACAATGTGTTTTACCTGAATTCGTACTTTAATTTTCAAATCCTTGCACCAAAAAGGCGAATCCCTCACCTAAAATTTAATTATTTTATACGGATAAGATTAAAAAGCTTACAGTTCGAGAAGTACAACCCTCTCGCAATTTAAAATTAAAGGTAGAATACCACGTACTAATATACGGTACCGAAAGTAACTGTATACTAAATAACGGTATATCGCAATTATTGGTACGGTAACGATATCGAATTTTTCAATACTATGCGATTCAATAGGTACACGGTATTAATCATAATATTCGGCAACCTAACCGAACCATCCCCTATTTAGAATAAGAAACAAAGTTGGGGTTGTCTAGGGTACGAGAGGGGTTGTACTTCTCGGACCATAATCAGCCAATAAAAATACGCCACATAGGATTAGTACGTACCCAGGACAAAATAGTACGATACCTACCTTATAAGTAAAATTACATAAAACCCCTTTTAATAAAAAATGAAAATTTAATTAGGAAAATAGTAATTTAAAACTTAATTACAATCAACAAATTTAAAATCATATTAAATGGAAAAAAAGGAATATCACGATCAAATCCAATTAGTTTTCTTAAACTTTAAACCTATAACATCAGTCTCCATAATTCATAAACTATGGTTCCTCACACACAAAAAAGAAAAAAATATCATCGATCTTTTCCTTCTTTCTGGCAAACTTTCTTGCCCTGTGATTCTTCTTGCCGTACGGCGTAGAGAAAGGTAAGACAAATCTGTTCATGTGTCCTGTAGGACTGGATGATAGCTGATCCATTTTATTTTCTTGACGGTTTTATCAACTGATGGTAACAGCGGTATTTTCTGTATCACAACCTTGAAACATTAGATACCTAAATTACGTGATTAAGCATTAGATAAATTTGATGGCCAGATAAAATCGAGTACTGTTTTGTATCGGAAGATCAGATTAAGCACTTGGAATTGGGAATTTTGGGAATGTTCCAATCTGATGTCTTACCATATTTCTTGAAATTGCTTGCTCGTAGAGTTAATGCAAAGTCTGAAGCAAGGTTTCAATATTAAACATCAAAGCATGCTCTTTTCATTATGCGAGTTTCTAGTAAAAATAACTGCTGGTAAGTTTTTCCTCTTGTCTGTATAACTAGGTTATTTTCTGCTTTTCAAGTGGACATGGAAAATCTTTTAACAGAGAAATTACCTGTGGATTGAAATCGTAGTTTTATATGAATTACGTTTCAGTGCTTGAATGTTCATTTATTGGTTGTTCATTTCAAGTTAGTATATATCCATTCTAACATACTCATTATATATATCTCAGAGTGGTGTACTCTAAGATGGCCGAAGAGATTTACAGTCTGCTTATTTTCGATAGCAACGAGGGCTCAACGGGCGAGGTTCAGCTTTGATGCTTCAACTCTGTTATGAAGGCACCAACGCTCGAAGATCTCCGGTCATACCATTTGCAGGACCATGTTTCACTTTTTATGACTTATTTTTCTGATATACCTCTGTAGTCAACTTCACTCGAACCTTATTTTTTTTCCTGATTATTTTTTGTAATTATGTGATGTTGCTCTAAAAACATGTTGATTGATTTAATTTCATATGGCTTTGAGATGGAAATCTTTTGTTTTTGAAGGATAAAAAAAAATTATATTATTGTAAGGCTTTTGCTGTTTTTAAGAATCCCACATGAATTTTTGTTCTTTCAGTTTTGAGGTATATGTATGATTTTGTAATGTATCCATACCCTAATGTATGATTATGTAATTTTGTTCTTTCAGTTGGACTGATATATATATATATATATATATATATATATATATATATATATATATATATATATATATATATATATATATATATAATTGAACTGATGTCATTGAGGTGGTGTTTGCTGCATCATTTTCTTTTCTGGTTTATATAGTAAACTGATATTAGTATGGTCACTTTTCGTCTTCATATTTCAATATGAATAATTGTTTCCAGAAATTTGTACCCAGTTGCAGGCTACATTTTCAGAAATATGAATATTGTGTTTTTTTTCCTTTCTAAAACTGGACCTTTGGATTTAATTCTATAGCCTATTTTGTAATCTATAATGTAAATACACATCAATGACACTATTTTGAATATGGAACAAACATTTGAGGCATGCTGTTATTACTAAATAGTGTGAATATATTACTTGGGCATTCAAATTATAACCTGTCCTTATTAATTCTTCACTCGCTTATAGAAACAAAATTGAGATGTGTAAATTACAATAAATCCAAAACAAAGTTTATTGTAAAGTACCGTACGAAAAATATACCCAAAAATTAGTATTTTTTTTCCCTTGGAGAATAAAGGCTACTGAAGTGGACAATAAGAGAAAGCAAGACGATGGCGGTCAAAGAAACTGATGCAGAATCAAGAGGTGGGGTCATGGTGGTCGCGTATGGCTTTCATCTTTGGTGGTTTGTGCACAAGCATCTGGCTGAGGAGTTGCACACGAGGGGGTGGTACCGTGGTGGGGGTGCCGGTGAATTTGCCCTGCCACCAGCTGACGAGTCTATACTGTTACAGTTAAGTTCTGCCTGAATTAGCAATGATGGCTGAAAGTGCAGTTATAGTAGTGGTTCCCGGCGGAATCGAGAGTGATGTTCGCCGGTCTGGTGGTGATATAATACACAACATAACCACACTTACATTTTCAGATATAAAATGATGAACATAGGACAGCCTATCAACTCCCAAATCCCAATTATAAAGACAATTATGGACTCCCACAAAAATTATTTTTAAACATCATAGCATACATTCCAAAATCAAAGCAACCATGCCAACTGACAACATCTGTAACCTTAGAGAAGTTAAATTCCATGTCATCTGCCCACACCTTATAACTATATACGGCCCATCTAACGGAGCTCCTCGAGGATTGATTATGGTACTTATCTGGTAACATCATAACAATAATAACATCTCAGTTTCAAAAATGACATAACATAACCAAAGCATGAGACGAGTAATAATACACAATATCAACAATAATTTTATTATGAATTAATGAACAAACATGGACCTCATAATCCTGTTAGATGATTTCTCATTTTTAGCAGCTCCGCTGTCGGGACGGTCAGATTCTTTCCATCTTTGATCGAAATTTCGAACCCATCATGCTGTAAGCTCGGGCTGACATCATCCAACAAAGCGTCCCACTTGAGTGCCTTCTTTCTCTGGGAATCCACACGACCAGTACGGCTCGTCGCGAACCGATTTATACGTTTCTACAATTGGCTGGTAAGGCGTGCCGCCGCTTGTCGCTGCGTCAGACATTCCGCCGGTGATGTAAACCTGGGAACTCGAATTGCTCTCACCACCATTCCCACCATTGGATTGGTTCCCGGCACTTTTAACATAGGGAGGGCTCCTGGATTGACTGGTGGAAGGGTTGCATACTGCGAAAATCAATTTAAGATTTTGAAGATCCAGTAAATCAATTTTGAAAATTGAAGATTTAATCCATGGTTCAAAGTAGAAAATAAGAAATGGACAAGATTTAGCAGAATAAGAGGGTTACTGTAAGACAAGGACTTAGCATACAAACTTGCTCAATCCCATCGCCTATACACTGTGTATTCGACGCCTCTATATTCGCCCACCGCCGCAGCTTTTCCAAGGTCTGTCATCGGCCCCTAACAACAGCAAAAATCTCCTTGGTTCGCTCGAAGAAGCATTCTTCCCGCAGTGGTATTAGGACGACCACTTCATCCCTTCCCGAAGAGTAGTTGAATTCCGAGGAATCAATATCAATTCTTACGAAATTGAAGAATCACCGTCGGATTATGTGAGGCTACCCATCACCGCCAATCGACGGCGATATGGATGGGAGGTCTATGTCCTCTATTTCCGGTGGCCCGCGAAGCACAGGCGGCGGAGGGCTGCAGGCGATAGAGGGTCGTGAAGCAGGCAACCGGCAAACTATGGGCGGCGGGCGGAGGACGGCGGTGGGCTGAGGAAGGACGAAGAGTAATTTGGTTTTTGGATGGTGCGTGAAGAAGCTGTAATCTTTTTTCTTTTTCTTTTTCTTTTTTTTTTCTCTTTTTTAAATTTATATGAGGAAAAGACCGATATATCCCGGCACAAATCATGTGTTTCTCACGTGTTGTGGATTCCGGTATCTTTTTGCTAAAAATGGACAATTTCTGCTCCGATGCCACAAATTAGTAAGTTCAAGTATGCCCGTGCAACTTTTTTCCGTTCAGGGGATAAAGTGCAAAAACGTCCAAAATTTAGGAGATTTTTTGCAGTTAACCCTAACAAATAAGTTTGAATGGTGTAGTCTGTGTGGATATATCTACAAAATTAAAAAAAATAGGATGCCCCTCTTTTAATTAAGAACCCATGGCGTGAGGTGCTTGTTTGAGGAGGCGGAGGAGGATGGTTTCGTCGGAGAAGTTGGTCAATTTGTCTTTGGTTGTTTTGGGCTTGTTCTCGAATAAGGTTCGAGAGGTTATGGATGGTTTGCTTATGGTCGGTTGGTTCATTAGTGGGAGTGCCTTGGGAACTCTGGGTTAGTCGTCTTGCCATAATTTCTATAACCTATTATGCAATTTATAAATAAACCACATAAATAAATAAGACATATAATACACATAACGTTAGCGGATGGGCGAGTTTATCGTGTCTCGTTAGTCTTCAAGCCCAGCTTTCGGTTCGTACGAGTTTTCTATAAACAATGCTCTGATACCACTCTTGTAGCACCCCCCTCGGGTCGGGCGATAAATCGAACCGGTTTATCGGAAAACTTTACTTAGATAGCGGAAGCAAAAGGGATCTCTTTGTAATTTTTAAAACTTTCGAGTAGGACCAAATTGTAATTTCTAAAAATCTCTTTTTGGGTCATTTGGAAACCTTGAAATTTTCGAAAACTTCTTAGGTGATTTTGGTCGTTTAAATTTTTTCGTTTCGAAATAACTTTGAAAAGGGAGATTATTTTCGGGTAAGAAATGCAATTATCAAAATAAGTGGACCAACTATATTATTATCAAAATAAGGCCCGTACTAGGATAAGAGTTTAATTCCCCTAACGAGGAAATATTAGAGTTTAAGGGAAACGGAAATACGGAAATTGTTTTTAGTTTACATCACCAAAATAAAACAAGCATAATTTATAGACCCCTCGTACGACCATCCAAAAGCTCCGGCCAAGACTCCGATCCACTACTCGGTCCATTCCGGCGCGGGATTACTACTACTACCTGCAATCAAAGAGGTATCTATATGAGCTATTAAGCCCAGTAAGAAATCCGAATGGATAACGATATGGTTCTACGTACTCATATTAGCATATACACATAAGCATCACATCTTACCATTCGTCGGCAAACGAACACACACACACAAACACTTAATTTCATTTAAGCACATAAATCGACTCAAACACGGAAATTACCAAATTACCCTTTCCGTGCAAATGTATGAATGAAAACATTTTCTGTTGTTCGGATCCGTGAAAAAATAACTTCTTTACTTGGATGATAAGCATATTATTCTGAGCCCGTTCTTTTGGTGGAATCAAACCACCCCTTTATCTATAGTAACTATGGTTGGGATACTGACCACCCGTATCCCGACTTATCCAACCCAAGCATTCCATTAACCTTTCCTTTCGTAAAAATGAAATCTCTTTTTATGCAAGACCATGAGACGAATGAGACTCTAAAACAAAACTGACCACTTTACGACATCACAAATATCAATCAACGAGCATTCAAACAAAATCCAATTATCCATATATATATATATATATATATATATATATATATATATATATATATATATATATATATATATATATATATATACACACACACACGGCAATTACACACATAGTATACACATATACATATAACCAGTTAAGTATAGCACATAATTCACATAATTATTATAGCATCATATTATATATTTATATATCATAAATTACACACACAACAGCACACACACACGACACACACATATACATACAACATGCAGCCCCAAAACACACTTTAATTAGCATTAAATTATCAAACCATGCCATTTAATGCACCAACATTTTTATCTTTTCATTAGTGGGATTTCTCCCCCTTTTATTTATTTAATGAATTCAAATTCTTACAGCCCCTTAACATAGTTCAGCTGCAGATTTTTAACCATCAACTCACATTCTCACAATTAATACACAAGGCATAATGATTAAAACACAAAAGTTCCATTTATGAGACATGCACAACCAATATTTCGAAATAATAGCAAATGGCATCTAAAAATTCTCAAATTTAATTATAGGCTGCCTAACTGACTAAATGTAAAGATGCAAAAACAATTTTGCAGATTCCTAAAAAATCGGATTTATAAAAATTAAAATACTCGGCAATTAGTGTTGAAGCCAAAAATGATTTTTCCAACAAATTTTAATCCCAAACCATGTCCAAATAGAAAATAACAAAATTCCACTTATTCCTACTGAGATTTTAAAGGTGAAAACATTTTTCAGGCTGAAATTTCAAGAAAGTGCAGATTAGTCCTAAAGATTCATAGATCTACACATGCAACCCCAAAAATCTTGAAAACTCATTTTCCTTTTCCAAAATTCCCATAAATTCGAAATATTAAACCTTTAAACACAAAATGCTTAGATTCACAGATTATAACATGGATTAGACATGCAAGAACACAAATACCAAGATGAGCACAAGATTTCGGATTTTACACAAAAAGCCCTAATTTTTCGAAAAGTGAGGAAATCTTTTAAGTAGTTTTGAAAATCCTTTTCCATACTATGATACCCTTTAATTGCAGCAAGAAATTCGAGATTTCTTACCTATCAAAGAGTGTTGGCCGAAGAAAGAAAAACCTTCAAAAGAAAAGAGGGTTTTTTAGAGGAAGAAAAGGAGGATGAAGAAAAATGAAGAAAACGCAGATACAATGTTACCTCCTTCAAGAAGTGGCTCCAAGATTGAACCAAGCTAGTTGAATGGAGAAGGTAAGAGCTTTGATATGAAGTTGGGAGGAGTGTAAATCTCCCGTAAGAGGGCAAGTGTTTTTTATGGTGTTCTTGGCATATTCAAGGGTGAAGCTTATATAGGGGATTTGCATTTTGATTTCTATATTTTTTTCTTGAAGAAATTTGAGGTGGTGGCCGATGGAGGAGGTGGTTCTTCGGTGGTGATGGTGAAGGAGAGACAAGTGGGGGTATATGTGTAAGATGATGAAGATAGATGGGTGTCTCTTGGGATGACGTAGCATGCTTGAGTGTAGGATTAGTGTAAATCCTCACTCTTTGCCAAGTGTACAAGTATGCATCTTTTCTAATTTTATTTATTAATTAATAAAACTACTAATTAATCCTACACACACACATATCCGAAAACACATACACCTATAGTCTAGAGTAACATAGCTTATATAGCATATGCATATATGTATGCATACATGTACGTATATATGCATGTAATTATGATTAAATCATGAAACCACAAAATTAAATTATACACATAAGTCACATAATTTAATCTAGCACACAATTATCAATAATTAATCCATTTAGGCACATAATTACCGAAATAAAGTTAGCACATAATTATTCAATAAATTTCTAGCACATAAGGCATATAATTAAATCGGCATATAAGGATTATTAGTCTAAGCAAATAAGGCATTTAAAGCAATTAATTTAATAAGGTAAATAAATTCCTAATAATTCCTACGTGAGAATTTTTGGGTTATGGAATTTTGGTTAGGGATTAGGGTTTCGAAAATGTGGGGTGTTACAATTTTGCAAAGAAAAAAGTCAAAATAAAAGGAATTAAGTGGTAGCGGTGGCAATAAGTTTAATAGGAATCAAATGCAACATTCCCACTGAAATCCAATTGCTAATTTATCATCGAGAATTGAGAATAAAACGTTTCCAATAATAAGTGTTACTAATTTTTTTTTTTTTTTACTTTTTCCAGTGTTATTTTTAAGTATTTCCAGTAACTTACAAAGATCATTTATGGTTTTCTTAGGACCGACTTCAATGGAGGTGAGTCATATTCATCACTTATTTTCGTAATGTTTTTTACTCATTACAGTTGTATAGTAATGGGGCCCGATATAAATCCGAAACCCGAAAAAGTACATGAGCCGAGCTTGAGTCTATACTAATGAGGCCCGATGGTACGTGAGCTTTAGCCTATAGTAACGAGGCTCGATAGTATGTGAGCTTAAGCCAACCCAAGCTCGGCTCACATGGCCCGATTGCCAACCCTAGCTATATGAGGGGCTTATTGCTAATGAACCAATTATATAATGGGGGCTATTTGATATAACCCCCTAAATACCTCTTTTAGAAGGGAGAGGTCCAAACTCTTTTGCAACATTTGATAAAGGTCCGTTCCTAATTTCACCCACCAATTTTGTCAACTATGCCCCTGCCACCTCGTCAACATTATCACCAATTATGTCCCTCCCACCTCATCAACCTTTATTTTATTTTTTAATTTTTTTTAATTTAAAAAAAATTAATATTTTTATTGAAAAAAGTTGAACTTTTTTTCTTTTCGTTTTTTAACTTTTTTTCTTTATAAGTATATTAATCGACTATGAGATATAAGCATAATCGATTAAGAAACCGACAACTAAAAACAATAAAAACTCAATTATGTAACAACGAAAATCGACGTTATTGTTACATAACAAATAATATACATAAATTGTAATTGATTTATATAAACCGAAATCAATACAGAAAAATCCAAAAATGAATTAAAAAATGAAATCAAGTAACATTAATCGACTACCAAGACAGTCGATTAACACTTTAATCGACTACCAGAGCATAGTCGATTAACTTAATCGACTACCAAAGAAACACATAGTCAATTAAATGGTCCAGCCTACGCGAATTCTCTATGTGCGCCGTCCTCCGCATGATCTACCAAAAAACCCTAGATCTCCTCGTCGTCACCACGCCGCCGCCACACCACACCATCACCACCACACTTCCATATTCTGACGGTTTTTAATGACAAATAAAGTAAATTA